CAAGTTTATTTTAATTAGAAAAATACCAATTTATTTTAAAAATGCAAAGAAATTTTATTAAACAATGCAAAGTTTGTGGGACAAAAGAAAATGTTCATTTTCATTATGGAGTTTGTACATGTATGGCTTGTGGGTCTTTTTTCAGGTATTTTGTCATATCCCCGTTTGGTAAAATTCCGTCATATCTCCCATAATCCGATTCGGACAAATTATATTTCATTCGAAAAAATAGCTTCCGGACTATCATATGGGCAGTAATGGGAAAGTTCCAGTTCCGGAATTGGTGCGGTTCCAGTTCTGGAAACGGAACCGTTTCCAAAGATACACCCCCTAATGATGGGTTAAAAAAGAGAAATGAGCAAAAGATTGGAGTCATGAAAAGAAAAGGAAGAAAAGGAAATTCGAATATGAAAATTTTGGGTGCTTTGAATAACCTCTTCGAGTCTAGTCAAGGACACCAAAATTTTTTTTATAACTTTGTTCAGAATTATCCAATCGATCTGATTTTGGTGTCTTTCGACTTACTCGTCGAGCTTTTTCGAATGAAATATTGTTTGGCCAAATCAGAGTATGGGAAATATGACGGAATTTTTCTAAAATTTTTTTTTCAAAAGGCGCTATCTTGAAAACGAAAATCAATGGAAATATAATTTATGTAAATGTTCAGAAAAAAATACAAACGAAAAATCCCAAACAAATTTGGCAAAATGTAAAAAATGTAGACTTGAAAAATGTCTTTCTGTTGGAATGAAAAAATTGGGTTTGTCAAAATAAGAGTAAAAACTGTCCACCACCCTTATATCACCCGATATCCCTCCAAATTACTATAAATTAATCGAACTAATCAGTGTTAATTCCAAAAATCCCCGTTAACCCTGCAAATCTCCAATACTCTCTTAATCACTTCTAATCTTTTTATATCCCTTCATGTGGATTTAACTGAAATAAAAACAACAAACCGGAAATACGGTATCCAATATTTAAAAATAATTATCAATAAAAATAGGGTTCAGCGGTATCGGGATCCCGACCGGTATCGGGTGGTATTATACCGGTCTCTTGAATACCGATACCGATTTTACTGATAACGATACCGATTTTTCTCGGAATACCGGTACCGATGAACCCTAAATAAAAAAGCAGTTTAGATGTTGGATACTTACGTCATGATATATGTCGGGAAGCGATGGAAGAAAAAAATGAAATTAAAGTAAATTTATTTATTTTATGCAGTAATTAGGGTGGCCCCTTCCAAAACACTAAAATAGGGCGCAGCCACTCAAAAATAGGGCTAAATCGGCCAAAATGGGAAAAAATTAGGGCATAGTTAAAAGCTTAAGCATATTTAAAATTTCAAATAAGGCGAAATTTTTGAGAATTTTGGAAGGCCAAGAAGACAAATTTCTTCCTTTTTTAGCGCCGCAGGCGAAAATTTTGATGATTTTGGGAGGCTAGAAGCCAGATTAATAGGGTGAAAAGGTCAAAAATAGGGAAAATCCTCTATAAATAGGGTAAAAGGCTGACTGGAATAGGAAACATCTCTTTCAATACTGACTAGGGTTGTCTTGAAAAAAATCTTTGAAAATCGAATATTGAAAAAGTTCAAATTATCGAAATCGAGAAAAAAGCACCAAAATATTTTAGCAACATAAATTCTACGGAGATTTATAAAACTAATTCCAAAAAATCATACTCCCTACAATATGTTGAATACCCGCAAAAATTAAAATTCTCTCTATTTTTAAGATACTAAATTCCGCAATTGTCGAAATAATCATGAAAGACCTAAACCTGATAAACTCAATTTTACCAATTATTGAAGCTAAAAAACGTATTATGCATGCATTTAATGATTTGGATGATATATTTCTTTATGGCCCGATTTTGTTTGAAGAAATAATTTCATCTAATTTTAATATTTTTCGTTTAACTGACACTTTTTCGGTAAAGGTTAAATAAAATTTTTAATAAAACTCAATTCTATTTAAAGCCAAATCCAAGTCCAATACCTTTAGATGAATTAAAAAGTTGGGAATCTTCATTACAAGATGAGGGATTAGTGAACACTCGATGTCAAAAATCTTTGTTAGTTGACAGATTCTTGTGTTTTGCCATAGCTAAATCTATGCCTGTTTTTGAAAAATTGTCTTTATCTGATCAGGTGTTTATGTACAATTATTATGCCTCTCTTTATAAGAGTTTTTTTAAGTTTTTTTGTTGCTTCAACTTTATAGAATTATTGTCCATAAAATTTGGGTGATTTTTGTAGCATACATATAACGAGTGATTAAAAAACATGTACAAAGAGATCCCTAAATTTCATTAATAAATAATCAATTAGTGCAAAAATTTATAAAATAGATTGCACATCTGAGACGGATTTTTTGCATGTATATTCCCTTTACAGGCTCTTACATAGCTTGGGAATTAGGCTTTGAAACTTGGATACGTAAAGATGGTGTTATGCCTGCTCTCGTTGTTAAAAATAGTAAATATTCACGTGATCAGAGGTTAATTTAAAATTGATAAAGAAGTGAACGGTAAGATTGAACTACGTCCCCATTGCCTCAAAATAATAAATATGGTCAGACTTAAAATGCGTTAATAACATTACTCTATGTATTAGAGTTTCACCGGAAGTTCCGGTTCCGGTTCCGGAAAGTTCCGGTGTTTTTTTGATTCCGGTTCCGGGAACCGGAACTCAAATTGGTTCCGGTTCCGGCTCCGGTTTACAAATCGGTTCCGGCCAAACCGGAACTTTTTTACACCCCTAAGGATTGGTTTTTTTTAAAAATATGGGTTGGCCTTGCAATATTTTCCCCGGTTGGCCTTCCAAAATTCTCAAAATTTTCGCCTGCGGCGCTGAAAAAGGAAGAAATATGTATCCTTGGTTCACCTAAAATTCCAAAATTTTCGCTTGCGGCGCTGTAAAAGTAAGTTGGCTGGTATATCGGAAGATTTGGATGATGAAGATGGATTTTGAGTTACATTATGTGAGTTCAAGAGGTCATGGGTAATATAGAAGGATTTGGGTGTGATGTCGAGGGATTGAGCTGTGCAAGGGGGATACCAAGGATTGGATAGCTGGGGATTTGGGCTTCTAAAACTTGGAATTTCTCACTTGTCTTCCTAAATTTACAAAATTTTCGCCTGCGGCGCTAAAAAAGAAGGATAAATATGGTATTATTTAAAATTCGCATGAATTAATGGAGATGTGGAGTGACATTTGGGGATTTCGGTGTATCAATAGTTATAATGGCATATCGGTGATTTGATATCTAGGGATCTAGTGGGATTAAGGATAATTCGAAGAAATTCGGGGATCAAAGGATATCATGAAGTTGGTGAGATATTGGGCATAGCAGGAAATTTGGATTGTTCGGTTCGGTTTTTAGGTTTGTTTTCGGTTAACCGAAAGTTTCGGTTAGGTTATTCGGCTCGGTTTCGATTAACCGAAGAATTTGGCTGAATTTAATCGAAAAATTTGGCGAAACAGACACCACTATTTAAAATACAAATTTTTTAAAATTTGCTAACAAAAAATTTTTTTAAAGTTCCGGTTCCGGTTCCGGAAACCGGAACTTAAATTGGATCCGGTTCCGGTTCCGGTCAAAATATCGGTTCCGGTGAAACACTACTATGTATGTTTATGTGTACCAGTTCTGCTTTTCAGAACAAGTAATTTGTGCGTATACCTTAATTCTGAGTGAGTCTTTCCCAAAATAGGCTTTCAATCCCATGAAAATTGTTTTGAAATAGGTTGAACCCTGTGATATATTTTATAAATATAAATTTAATTAAGACTCTAATTTCAAATATTTAAATCCCCGCCTTTTTTTATTTTTTTGCTGTTTTGACATTTTCCCTCTCCCTATAAATATTATTCTCCCCTTTTAATTTTTGTCAGTCATTCATTCAATTTCTTTAATTTTTGTCTTTTTCTGAAAAGAAGAAAATTGTTTATTTTAATTTGTGGAAAATAAATATTCTTATTGATATATTTAAATTTATTGACTACATTTGGTGTAAAAGTATTCAGCATTACTTGGCGCTCCTGAACCGAGTCACTTCAACGACAAAGTAAAATTTAAAATTTTTACGCCCCGGTGGGTAAAAATTTTTGTGGAAGAATTTTCTGTGGTCTTCACTCAACAAAATTTTTTTTCGTTATCTCTCTGTGGGATAGGAAAAACTCTTCAAATTTTTTTTCGCTATACCTCTGTGGTATAGGAAAATTTTTGTTTTCGACTTCCATTTTCGCTATCCCCCGGTGGGTTAGGAAAATTTTTGTTATCTTCGTGGTTTTCGTTATCTCTCGGTGGGATAGGAAAACTTGAGTAGAATCGATTCTTCCAATGGCCAAAGTTCATATGACCCGGCAACAAACCAAAGAAATGGGAATCGTTCTTGACAAAGATGGGAAACAAATTTTAGACCAAAATTTAGAAGAGGAGGGTGAAGAGAACACAGAAAATTTGGAGAACAATCAAATAGCCCCCACAAAAAAATCGATTAAAAGCAAAAAGAAAATTCCCATCACCACTTTAGACATGTCTCAGCAGTTAAACAACCTGGAAGAAAGTCTGTTAAGTGGGAATGGTGAAGAAGATGATGTTGTTAGTTTGGATGAGCAAGCAGTAGATCAACTTTTAGAAGAAGATGGAAAAGGTAGCAAAATACAAACTAAAACTAAAATCAATAAAATGGGGAATGAAAAGAAAGCACAAAATACTCGACCCCATTTCCAACCAAATATGGCAAGCACGCCAATTGAAAATAATCAATACGCGCAATTCGGCCAAATTCCACCTGTCCAAGCTGGTTTTCCACCTTGCTTTCCTGGATATCAGATTAATCCACAACAGCAGCCAATGATGTATATGCCTTTTTACCAGTACCCACCTAATATACAACCAAATCCAGCACCTCAGATTAATGCTTTTGAAAGTTTAACGCAGGCACTTGTATTAGATAAGATACCAGACTTGAAAGGAAATGAGGGAAGTGATGGGATAAGGAAATTCTTTAAGAAGTTTGACGTCGCTTCAGAAAGTTGGTCAGAAAAGAAACGTATTACGTTATTGGAGTCTAAACTTTGTGGTAGAGCAGAGCGAGCTTTTAACGCTGCTGTAAATTCAGAACCCTATCGTTATGACTCGATTCGACGTTTTATTATTAACCAACTTGAAGAGACAGACTCGAAAGGAATGGAATCCTTTGACACACTTATGAGAGGCGTTCATCGTGGTCGTAATGAAACTATAGATGAATTGGGTGAAAAGATTTCTGGATTAGTTCGTCGGGCATATCCTGGTCTTCCAGCACACCTGCATGACGAATATTCTATTAAACACTTAATAAGAAGCATTGATAGTCCAGAATTAGCTCTCAACCTCGAATTGTCGCGAAGAAATGCTATGTCACTTGACGAATTCATTGCACTTGCAGCGAGAGCCGAAGCAACTCAACGCGTAATTTCTAGGCGATATAACCGTTTTGAGAACAAACAAAATTTCTCTAATCAATATTCGCCACAAAGAACGCAATTCTATGACCAAGGGACAAGTAAACAGAAAGAAATTAAATGTTATAGTTGTGGAAAATTAGGACATTATTCGAATGATTGTAGAAACAAATGGCAACCGGCTACGCAAAATAATGTTCAAGCTTTAGTACCACAACAAAATTTAGGGGCTAGTCGAAATTTTGCAACTAACTCTAATAGTGTTGAAATAAAGGGCAGTCGAGAACACTTTAACAATAAACAGCCATTCCGCAACCAACTGAAACAAAATTTACTTAAAGTTGAGCAATTCGACGAAGTCAATATTCCCCACGTCAATGCTGTACACACTGCTGAGATTTCTAAATTTTTCGAAAAAGATAATAAGAACGTTGAAGAAAAGTCAGTTGAAGATAAAAGCGGTTTGGTTGGAAAAATTATTGCACTTCGAGTAAATGTCTTAGGAAAAGAAGCACTCTCTATCGTTGACCCTGGTGCTCAAATTTCTCTCGTAAATGCTGGCTTCTTAGTAAATTTACTTAAGGCAAATGAAATTAAATTGAATGATAGGGCTTTAAAATTTTCTAAATCGGCTGAACAAGTTTTGGACGTTAATGGAAATAAAGTGAACTCTCTCGGTGTCGTCAATTTACCAATTAAAAGAAATGGTATGGATGAAACTTACATCCGAGCGCACATCACTAAAGCACCATTTGGTTATGAACTCTTGTTTGGAACTAATTGTCTAAAAGACCTAGGTTTTAAACTTTATGATGAGCCAAATGATGAAATGATTAATTTTCAAGAAGCAGAACCAAAAAAATCTGGTGCCGTTAAAATTATTTTCCACACAACCATACCACCTCGCTCTACTAAATTAGTTGAAACGCGGATTGAAAAAGAATTTGAAGGAAAGGAAATTCTTATAGCGCAAGAGGAAGAAAGCGAGATAAGAATAGAACCAACGCTAGGGTGCGGCGAAAAAGGAAAAGTTGTAGTGCCAGTTACAAATACATCAGAGCTCCCAATAAGGTTGAAAGAAAATGAAAGTATTGGTAAAGTTGAAACTGTAAATCAATACGGGGAGGCTGAAAATTTTCTTTATTTTGATTGGGATTCTAAAGATGTTAAAGTAAATTTGTTGGGCGGTACAACTCTAGACTCGAGCGCCGAAAACAAAGAAAGAGAGCATGAATTTAAGTTGCAATTAGAAAAGAATACAGGAAAATTGAAAGAAAATCAATACCCTGAATTAGTTGAGATTGTTAATGAGTTTGAAGAAATTTTTGCTTTAAGAGATGAAGAACTTACGCAAACAAATCTAGTAAAGCATGAAATACGCCTCGAAAACAATCAACCGATTAGATCTCGTCTTCGTCCAGTTCCTTTTGCATATAGAGAGAAAATAGCCACAATGTTGCAAGATTATTTAGGGCGTGGAATTGTGCGACCGTCTCACTCTCCTTATGCAAGTCCAATTGTGATTGTACCAAAAAAGGACGGAAGTCTGAGATTCTGTGTTGACTATAGAGGGATAAATTCGATAACCGAAAAAGACGCGTTTCCTTTACCAAATATTGACAATACCCTTCTAATGCTGGGAAATAAAAGAATTTTTTCTACTCTTGATTTTATGTCGGGTTATTGGCAAATCAAAATGGATGAAGATTCAATCAATAAAACTGCATTTATTACTGAATTTGGGTTACATGAGTTCTTAGTAATGCCTTTTGGTCTAGCTAATGCAGTTGCCACATTTCAGCGATTTATGTCAGTTCTTTTTGAGGATCTAATAAATGATTTTGTTTTTGTTTATATCGATGACATTCTAATAGCATCCAACTCGTTCGACGAACACAAGAAACATTTAAAACTTGTCTTTGAGAGAATTAAAATGGCTGGGTTAAAATTAAAAATTTCTAAATGCAAATTTGCTGCTGAAGAAATTCCCTTTCTCGGCCACACTTTAACCCCTGAAGGAATAAAGAAAGACGCTGAAAAGATTAAACCGGTGCTAGATCTTCCAATTCCTAAAACAAAGAAGGAACTTCGATCTTTACTAGGATTTATGACTTATTACCGAAAATTCATTTACTCTTTCGGCGCAATTGCAAAACCACTTTTTCAATTAGTACGAGAAGATGCAGTTTTTAAAATTGGGGAAAAAGAAAAAGAGGCTATCCAAACATTAAAAGAGAAAATAATTAAGGATGTTTTACTGTATTTCCCAGATTTTGAAAGTGCTGTGAAAAATCCAAAAAGAGCATTTATTATAATGACGGATGCAAGCAAGATAGGTCTTTCTGCAGTTCTTTGTCAACCTGATGAAAATGATAGGATTAGACCCATTTACTTTGCGTCAAGACAATGTAACAAACACGAAGAACGCTATTGTCCAACTGAATTAGAGGCACTAGCAGTTCGTTTTGGAGCTAAAAAATTTGCACAATTTATAACTATGATACCCACACGTGTTTTAACTGACCACAAAGCACTTGTTCCTATGTTTAAGAGCAAAAATGAAACGGGGAATTCTAGAGTTGATCGTTGGATTATGGAATTGAATGATCGTTTTATTTTGAAAGTCGTATACAATCCAGGAAAGTCCAATACCGTAGCTGACCTATTGTCGAGAATTCCTCCGCCTGAAAGCAAAACTATTCAATTGCTTCAAATTGACAAAGAGGTGAATGAAAAAGAGATTGAAAATTGTTTGGGAGTAGAAAAGGGAAGAAAAATCGATTGGATAGAAAAGACGCGTGAAAGTGAATTTAAGGGATTGTATGAGTTTTTAGAAAAGAGGATTCTCCCAAATGATCAAAAAGAAAGCCAAAGCATAATAGCGCATTGTCAAAACGTAATTCTTAAGGATGGCTTGCTTTATTTTGTTGATAAGGAAGGTGAATTGAAACTTTTTGTTCCTCGAGAATTTAGAAAGGAATTACTTGAAGAGAGACATGAAGGAGTTTGTGCAGGACATCAGAGCGGGAAAAAGCTTTTTCGTCAACTTAATGAACGATACTTTTGGCCAAATATGCGTGCGGAGTGTAATACAATTGCTTTAAATTGTCGAATTTGTTCTCACGCAAGGAAAGCCAGAGCAAACCAACCCGAGTTACAAATGCGAAAAACAAGCGAACCGCTTGAACTTGTTTGTCTGGATGTTGTAGAAATTGGAAAAAGCAATGCATCAAACCGTTACGTTCTCGTTATTGTCGATCACTTTACTAAATGGGTTGTTGCCGAACCAATTCCTGACAAATCTTCAGAAACAATTGCTCGCGTTTTTGTTGAAAAATTTGTTTTAATACATGGAGCACCCAAACAAATTCACTCTGACCAAGGAAAAGAATTTGTAAACAAAACTTTGGAAGAGATTTCTAAAATTCTAAAGATATCGAAAACAACCACACTAGGCTATGACCCAAACGCTAACGGTCTTGTTGAGCGAATAAATCAAATCATTTTGGGAATGCTAAAAAGAAACACAGGATCTGTATGGGAATGGGACTTGCGTTTACCATTTTGTGTTTTTGCTATCAACATAACCCCATCCGAATCAACAGGATATTCTCCATACCACTTAATGTTTGGGCGAACTGTAAATTTTCCCTCAAACGAAACGATTCATTTTCCAGTAAACCCGGCTTATACTATTGACGAAGACACTTACCTCCAACTTTTTCGAGAAAATTTAGCACAATTGATTGCTGAAGCAAACAAAAACTTGGAAAAGTCAAGAGAAAAGATTGCGTACTGGTATAACGCGAAAAAGAATGTTTCTGGGAATAAATACAAAATTGGCGATCGCGTGATGGTTAATTTTCCTGGGAAAAATATTCGAAATGAACACAAGAAGCTGTTGTGGAATAATTTCGGACCTTACAAAATTATTTCAATGGGAAAAGCCTCAGCTGAATGCATTCCTACTGACAATCCTAAAGCTAAATCAATAACTGTCCCAATTGAGCGATTAACCAAAGTACCTCCTGGTGTTCCTAACATTGCTACTCTCCCAACTGGAAAAAACCCTTACAAAAATATAATAAATTTAATGACAATGAAAATTAATATTGAAGAAAAAAATCATGGGACGATTTTTCTTTTAGGTTCGGAGGCGATTAAATTTGATTGGACAACTTTTTGCTCTAAAAATGAAGAACACAGCGAATGCAAAATTTTACATGCTTCTGACCTCGACCCTGTTTTAGACGAGACTACAAAAATTGGAAAATTAGAAATAAAAACGGCCCTTCAAGCTCTCTTTACAATATTTTTGTTGAAGAAGGAAACAACGAATTCCTTGACTGCTGCTAAAGCTTTACTTTCAACAATATTGAAAGCAGATCCTGGCTTTGAATTAATTCTATTTTCTGGAAAAAGAGGAGACTTAGTAACAACAGGAAAAATGCCAAACGAAAAGGACATTTTTGGGGCTCTAGAAAAATGGGTTAATTCTTGTAAAGTTTTGAAAATGAAGTTGGAAAAAGGAAAATATGAAGAGATTTTAACTGAAATCCCAAAATCAATTGAAGGACTTCCAAATGCTGAAAAAGAAGAGTGGAAGAATTTAATTAAGAAGACTAGCTGGGTTTTAGAAAAGGTTAGAGCAAGAATTGTGTTCGAGGCAAAGAAGTTTATTGAAAAGCCTCGTTTATTAATTGGGGATTCCACTGCCGAACAACTTTTTAGTGCAATGCCTGGATCAGAAATAGTTGGAAAAGAAGGAAATATTTCTGAAATAATTAGAGCACTAAACCGGACAGTCCTATCCAGCAAAGTTAAAGGAGCTTTAATCATTGTAGGAAGAGACAGTTTATTGAATGGGGAAACAGCAGAGAGCATTGCCGAACAAATAAATCGTTTGATCACGTTGATCAAGGATTTTAAACATGTTCGAATTTTTGTAATGGCTCCACCATATGTGCACCGGAAAAGTGAAGAATTCAATGAACTTTATTTTCTGATAAAAAAGATAACAGAGAAGAATTCCATTAGTTTCGTCTCGGTGACGGAGAATGGAAGAAGTATTGTTGAAATCTTCCGGAAAGGCACCACATTTAACGACAACAACGTTACAATTACTGGGCAAATTACCAACATTGGCTTGAGTTTAGTCCGTTCTTGGCTTTTTACTCAAGTACCTAATTTTCCTGGAGATCAACAAATTGGACGTCTCCCACCTACAATAAATTCTCAAATTGTTATTCCAACAAAACGACATGAAAGGATTAGCGAGGGCGGTCTCGGTGACCGGATCTCGTTTCGACGAAGTCCTTATCGACACAACAGCTCCACTTCCCATTATTCAAGCCGACGACCCTCTACCTCACCCAGACACAAATACTCGCGTCGTCGTTGATTTGACTCACCACCCAAAGCCTTATCGGAACAGCATGAAAATTTTAGATGTCGAGGACGCCATCTTTTGAGACCCTGGGGATGTGATATATTTTATAAATATAAATTTAATTAAGACTCTAATTTCAAATATTTAAATCCCCGCCTTTTTTTATTTTTTTGCTGTTTTGACATTTTCCCTCTCCCTATAAATATTATTCTCCCCTTTTAATTTTTGTCAGTCATTCATTCAATTTCTTTAATTTTTGTCTTTTTCTGAAAAGAAGAAAATTGTTTATTTTAATT